TAATTTTCCCTTTGGGGCCCCGCCCTGGCCCCAGGGGTCGGGGTAGGAATCTCAATTTTACAATTTGAAACCATCTACCTCCAAGGATAATTCTCACCAAGTAAAAATAATTTCCTACAGAAAGTTGTCAAAATATACCCAAAAGTGTTATTTCCCTATATAAACTATAGTAAACTTTACCCCCTCCCCAAGGGAGAACGGATAGCTCGGGGGTCCTGAAATTTACAATTTAAGTAAAGCCCCTGATGATCTTTCTTTCCACGTAGAGAAAATCACTGTAGTACCTGTGAGTCTGGAGAAGAAGATTTTTGAAATATTGGATAATTTTCCCTTTGGGGCCCCGCCCTGGCCCCAGGGGTGGGGGTAGGAATCCCAATTTTACAATTTTGAAGCCTCATCTACCAAGGATGATTCTGACCAAGTTTGAAAAAAATCCATCCACTGGTTCTTGAGAAGAAGTTGAAAATGTAAAAGTTTACGCATGACGCACGACGCACGACGCACGACGCACGACGGACGACGGCGGACGAAAAGCGATTGGAATAGGTCACTTGAGCAAAGCTCAGGTGACCTAATAAGGCTTATATTACGTACTTATATACTGGTGTTATAAAACATCACTATCAAGAAATTTTGAATTTAAATAAAATTATTGACATATAATTAGACTGTTACATGCCATTTCTATGTGAACTACAGAGATTAAGAGGGTAAAGAATCCCTGTACCACCAGATATCTAAAGTAATGTCTTCAGTTTGTGTGTTATACATGTATAGAAGTGGCTCCATGTAATTAAACCAAACGATAAATCGCCAATTATTAATTGCTGTTTTTAAAATGACAAATTTGGTTTGGTTGTATAATCGAGTTATTGATTCAGCTACTCATTATCTTAAAGACTTTAACCGCTGTTAATGCAGAAATATATCAATGAATGTTGACTATCTGGAATTTAAAAACGCTATCATTTTCAAATATTTTGATTTTTTCTCTCTCTTCACATTATATCAATTCCACCTGGAAGCAATACTGAATTTGGGGTTGGAAAGCAAATCTGGACTAAAAACTTGAGAACTGGTGTTGGTAATGGGCTGGTGCCGAGTGTTAGACAAACAAAGGCATGGAGAGAAACCAGCAGTACCGTTATGGGTCCGGTCCGGGGGCACAAACAGATGGACAGCAGGAGTACTGGCAGTAAAAGAACAACTACATAAATAGCCCAGAGCCATGGGTGTTGGTCAGCCGCTGTATGCAGGGTCTTCCACACGCCCCCCTGTATCCACAACAAAACCAACATGTCAACATGCATCACATTTAACTCACTAGTATAAAGAAGATGTTTTAACCATGGAGGTAAATGTCTGTTCATCAAATAGTCCAGTATTAATTTTTGATTGAAAGTAAATAAATATAAGCAAACCTGTTTTGAATGAATCAGTATGTACATTTCATTTGATACTAAAATCAGATCAGATACTTTGGACCAGGGTTAAAACATCATCCCTCTACCGGTGAAGCTGTACAACACCAACAAACAGCATCAGGACGCACAACCCTTGCCGGCCAATTTTAACCAAACGAAGCACATTCTGCTTCAGTAGCACTTTCGAGAATCTGGCACCAGGGTTTGGGTGCAGCATACTGATGCTGTGAGTTACATACCTTAATTAACGATTCTATGCTCAACCTGTAGCTTACCTCTGATTTAGACATACAGCAATAAGCTATGATCAGTACTATGGGCAGTACAACTACAATGAGAATTACTGCCCATAGCCAAGGCCTATCTTTGGTAGCATCTAACACTGCATCAACAACACTTCTCTGAAAAGTCAGGGCATAAATAGTCAGTTTATAACATATCATCAATGGAATCTTTCAGACTAGACCCAAGTATTTTTTTTAAAAAGACAACAAGTCATTCTTCATGAATTTAGATTTGAACAACACAATAAATTTTAAATAAATCCAGACACAACAATATCTGGTCGAGTATAAGAATATCACAATATGGCATAATAGGGTTATTCCAGAACCTTTTAGGATTCAGAGACAATTTTATTTAGGAATACAAGGGTGGTTTGGTAATTCTAAATTCTTCATTAGTGATTCTGGAATATGTCAATTTATGCCACCGAACATTTATTTATCAAATAGTCAATTCTATCTGAATTTGATGACAATCTTTCCTATTTCAGTACCTTTCATTCGCATAGGTATACAACATTTACATGTAAAGTATAATATTACATATTATAGTAACTTATAGTTCATTCAGTATGAGTTGATCACTATCATATATATGAACTACTATTTAGATCTTTTTTTCTATATTTCCAGTTTTACCCACAATAAATATAAAGTTTTCTCTACATTTCTACTACAATATCAACCAAAAACAGAGGTACTTATTCCCAAATTACAGACAGGTAGACCAGCTTAATTTAAAAGTGTGACAATTACATGTATATACAAATCTATACAAGTGATTCCCCATACAGTAAAGGGAATATAATGCAGTAAAGACCAAGTAGTTTAACAATTTGCAAAATGCAATACGTTTGTTATTTGTTGAACATATGGTTGCATTTAACAAGTTCCTGGTATGCTAGATTTTGATGTTATCTGGTCTTATTCGATGTTTGCTATTAACAAGTTCCTGGTGAGGTAGATTTTGATGTAATCTAATGTACACTTGCTGTAACAAGTTCCTGGTAAGGTAGATTTTGATGTAATCTAACGTACGCTTGCTGATAACAAGTTCCTGGTGAGGTAGATTTTGATGTAATCTAATGTATGCTTGCTGTTAACAAGTTCCTGGTAAGGTAGATTTTGATGTAATCTAATGTACACTTGCTGTTAACAGGTTCCTGGTGAGGTAGATTTTGATGTATAAATCTAATGTACGCTTGCTGTTAACAGGTTCCTGGTAAGGTAGATATTGATGTAATATGATATATTTTTTGTGTCAACAGGTTCCTGGTAAGGTAGATTTTGATGTAATGTGATATATTTTTGCTGTCTATAAGTTCCATAAGGGTATATTTTTATGTTAACTGTATGCTCAGCCTACCCCTGATGACTTGGCCTTCTCCTGTGCAGATTTGATCTCCCAGGTCTGCGCAGCCCACTGTTCAGCCACAGACTTGTCGTCAGTGATCAGGAAGTTGTCAAAGACAATATCGTCATTCATTGACCAGAGCTCAAGTCCCACTGCTCCCTGTAACAGAAATTAACATTCAGTACAGTGTCAACTATAATTATATATTTTTTGACTTTTGACTATTTTCAGAAATTAATTCTTTACTGCAATAGAAAAACTGCAACTATATAGCATATATACAATGTTGGAGAAAATTGCTTTGGCAAGTCATAAACATCATTTTTATTAAAAAGTTATGAAGCTTAGGTTTATATTCTTACATAATGAAGACATAATGCATTACTTTCAAAACTTACAATAGATGTCATTTTGTATGGCTCAAGATCCTCAAAGTAAGAAGGATTGTCTATCCTCTTTGGTTTCCACACACCCTAGAAAAAGGATATAAATCATGTATATTATGCAAACTTCAATATTGAAATGCATCTATTCCACATGTACTTAACAGCTGAAAATACAGACCTATTTTACAAAAACATTTTTTTCTAGACTATTGCTTGTTATCTCATTTCCCAAAATAGGTTTTATGACACATATCTTCATCAGAAGATTTGTCAGTTTACAATATGTTGACATTCCATTGTCATTTCATTCTTAACTTTGTTCTTGTACTGGTCAATGCGTATGTGAGCTCTGAATGTATCTATTCTATTTTTCATTTTAAGGGTACGGCATGCTCTTATATATCAATTGACACCATTTCTCAGAGACAGCTTAACTGGATGTGTTCTCAAAGATATGAATTTTAGTCACCATATGCAAATCAGTCCTTATAAGAAAGCATATCTTTGTTCATTTTTCACAAAAGCTAATTCTGCAATCTAGAACTTAAATCTGAACACCCAACTTTCACTGCAGTCGGAATAGTTACTGCTATCAAGAAACATGAGTATGTTTTGGCCGGTCTAGTTTGATCTTCAACTGATAACTGATCTTTACCTGGTATCCTGGGTTATCAATGATAGGCGCTGACCACTTGCCCTTGTATTTGGGGTTTTTGACGCTAGGTTTCTCCCATTTACCACAGCCTGGGGCATTCTGGCACAAGGGATTGTCTGCAGAAGAAACAAATATATATCACCATTGCTTATCTGATAATGATCAATGTCGATGAAAACCAATATCCTAGTTGTAACTGGCTGACATCAATAGAGATAACATTGATGAATAATCCGTATTTGCTTGAGCTCCTTTGGAGTGATTCACTAAACAATTGCAGAAGTCTCAATCTAATCAAGCAAAAAGGCAATTTATAATGGTTAATGTCATGTTTCAGATGGACAGGTCAATCAGAATCTGTTCTGACAACAGTTGGCATGGCCATTAAAATCATTTTAAATCAAGATATGATAAAAGTCACTAATCTTCTTATTACATAAAAGTATGTTACTGTTTCCTGTGCTCTTTTCAAAGGATCACTATAAAAACAAGAATTCCACTGAAGTGAAGGTGTTGCCTGCACAAGATTAGGTGGAATGATGGCTGAATTCAGTTATGTCTTGAAGAAGTAATACAGAGCAATGTATTTACTGCTGTATTACTGATCTGATCACAGCTCCCTCATAAATTATTTTGGATTTTGACTGAGCAATGATCTTGTATATATCATTGCAATCTCAGTAATTATACAGGAATTTTGCCAAGCAGAAAGTAAACTAAGCAAATTTCATCAAAATTTGATTATTCCTTAAAAAGGTATCATTGAGCATGCAGACATTAATCGTTTTGTACTGCTCAGTCAATAACAAGCGCAGTCTACAAGCAACATTCAAATGAGATGTCCTGGGCCTGGACAATACTTGTCCGAGTGTGACAGATATCTAGTGTACTTACTGATGAGAGGAGCCTCCCAGTCACCGTCCATGTCATCATCCCTGTCACAGAAAAAAAGGACAATGTCTTACGCTACACCAATAAAAACTTTTAATCTCTATACTTATTTAAACATTTAATGAAGCTATACTATAGTTTCCTGCTGCTTTTGTTCATGTTTTACCATTTTAACTAAAGAACCGTATATATGTTTATATCATATTTGGCCATTTTAATGCTAAATTATCTATAATGATCAAGAATTCTGAACTAAAATTAATTTAAGTGTACTGTGTCAATGATATTGCAGGTTCTGTAATATGGTTGCATTCATTTCAGCAGTGTTTTCAGTTGGCAGCCCCAATGTAACAAGCATTAGAAAATCTACTGGAATTCAGCAAGTTACTAGCACTGCCCCGATGTGCAAACTAAGAAATTGCAAATGCCTGATTTATTGAAAGTCTTATCCTATTTGGATTTTTGTCCAAGCCTACTTGGTATTATTATTAATGGAGAGCCTACCAGTCGGATGGTTTCTCTGCCTCTGGGTCGGGGATAAGCTCTGTCTCCTCTTCCAGCCAACCACTGGGCATTGCAGCATCCTCATCCACAATCTTCTCAGGCTCAGCCTCATCCCTGTCAGCAGACAAGACATCCAATGTGTAATGCTTACATTACAGACACTAATTATAATACCCTTAAGTCAGTGAGCAATACATAGTAGATGCTTTATACAAAACTTTGACAATATATCAGGAAAACTTCAGAAATACTATCCCTGTAATACCACCATACCTTCAACAGTAGCTGTATCTAATAGCTACCTGCTTAAAAACAAAATACCATCAACAGTCTTTCTTGGTATATTTGGTCACTATAGCATATACAGTAGCTGTTAATCCTTTCCTGACCTTCAGTACAAAAATTCACTTCACAGCACTAACTCAACAAAACAGTGGCACACATACTTTTTTTTTAACATTACCCTGGACCATTAAAGCCATGAAGAGAAACTAACAAGTGGACTTCAAAATCAATATCAACTTACCAATCTTCTGGTTTGGATGCTTCAGGGTCTTGTATCCTGAAGAACAATACTTTCAGTTTAATATTTAACTTAAACCCGTTAATAAATCTAAAACATTATACATGTATCTATGAACAGTGTTAAGAGAGTGAAATTACCCAGTAAAACCCAGTAATGCTATAAAGACAATGAAATTCAATTAATGCGTGGTTCCAATTTCAAAAGTTATTCAATAGTTATTGTTAAAAAAAAAAGAGTCTGAATAAAATATCAACTTCACAGCAAATTGTATCATTCATTTGATGAAAATTATGTGTTCGTAACTTTATATATGGAAAGATTTCTATTTTTCTTCTTCTAATATTTGTTATACCATTACATTCCATAGTGAGATAATACTCATCTCATCGCTTCTATTTCTTATTAATAAATTACATATAATTGTTAAGATGAAGCGTAACATTTTTCACATCAAGATCACTTTTTCCTTAATTAAATATAAATTAGATTTTATAAAATACCTATGATTTTTTCCCCCCTTGGATTTCCTATTATTCAAAGTTCCCTTGTACTTCCACCCAGAAAACGTATTTATTTTATCTGAATATGAAATGTTCCACAGCTACGCAGCAGCCATCAAGACAAACATGTACATTTATCCCGCTATGAGCCACTTACTTCTCTCTGTCATCCCAATCTGAAGGCTTCTTGTCGTTGGGGTCATCAATTTCTTTTGGCGGATTGACAGGAGGACTAAAAGCACAAAAAAACAATGAACATAACATTGACAAGAACCAAATTTAATTTGGGTATCATAGTTCAAGACAACATCAATGGGATTCATCAACAAATCGGACACTTGGTTTTATAGCCTGAATCAGAAGAGGTTAACCTAGTTATATAACATCCAAAAAATAACCAGACAAGATTAAGTCTTTAATAGCCTCAAACAAATTAGACAAGGTCAACAGTCTTATAGCCTAAAACAAATGAAAAATAATCAACAGAGTTTTGCGCTCTCAAAAAAATCATATAAGGTCAAAAAGGCTTTGGATAACGAGTAACAAAACTATGAAAATACAGTCGAACCACGTTATCTCAAAGTCGACGGGGTTGTGGAAAAACTTCTAGCTATCAGAGTTTTCGAGTTCATAAATTTGGTGTGAAATTTGCTGTTTGGACATAGCAGTCGTTGATTTTATTAATAGCCAGTGATTATAATCAATCGATGAATGATATACATAATCAATATAACAAATACAGGTATGTAATTTTACAATAAACACTCTTACAAAAATAGAGCAAGTTATTTCCGAAAAATGTAACATACTTTTGTTAAACGCGATCAAAACAGTTGGACCAAATTGAGAGACTATAGCTAAAAGTTGTTTTTGGCTAGTCTAGCTCTTGGCAAAGTCTTTCCAGGTTTGCATTTGTATTTGCAGGTCTGTCAAGTTTTATTTTTGAAGTGTACCATTTAGAAATCAAACTATACCATTGTCTCTGACCTAAAAGCGTTAATGAAGGTGCGCTAGTCTAAAACAAATCACTGTAATGGAGCGTATGCATAGTTGATTCTGTAAATGAAAACACACACAAACAGGTTATGTCGTTCATGTAACACATCCATTCATTAAAGCCAAATGTGACACCCGACATCTCAACTCGATGTAATCAACAGCAATTATCGTATTGTTCTTCAATATCTCAATTGACTTTCAAAGCCATACTGGCTCCTGTAAAAACATGAACCCGTGGAGTTGTCCTAGGTTGTGATTTTAACTGTGGAACTCTTTTTATGCATGACCACGCTTTGTGTACAAATCATTAAACGGACTCGCAGTAAGTACAGAATACTGTTGATCAACATTGATGAAGTTTGTTTTTTATTATGAACAACATGGTTTTGACAGTCCGCACACTTTATTGTGAATCCTTTTTACCCATTTCATTCTAGTCTACTCACGAAAGATGTTCATAACACGGATGGCGTACTTTTGCGCTTTATTTGTATCAAAGAATTAATAAGTGACAAAATAAAATTAGAACACTATGAAGTAGACGATGTTTTGATGTTGGATTTATGATATTGAAACCAATATCTTACTTCGAGGTATCTGAGTTTTTCCGACTTTACAGGGTTCGAATTATCAGAGTTTTATTTACTAAGATAAAGAAGAGATTTTGCCGGGACCGGATAACTGTATTATTATTTGAATATTTGAAGGTCAATGTCATACTAATTTATAACTATTTACATGACATTTGTATTTCACATTTAAAATAACTTTTCAGCACAATGGTAAACTCAAATATAGAGAAACTGGTAAAGTTGTTATAACCATGCAACACATTTTTGTTCATATATATTGTTTGATGCAATACAATCATACACAGCAAAGCCAGTGAAACTATAATTCACCGTAAAACAGAGCTGCTGACCAGTGTATTCTGTACTGAGGTGTTCTTTAGTGTGTTTTGTACTGGGGTGTGTAGAGTTTTTTGTACTAAGATGTTGTCTAGTGTTTTACATTGAGGTTTTGTTTAGTGTGTGTTGTACTGATCATGAGGTGTTGTCTAGTGTGTTTTGCAATGAGGTTTTGTTTAGTATGTGTTGTATTAAGATGTTGTCTAGTGTGTTTTGTACTGAGGTGATGATTAGTATGTTGTATTGAGGTGTTGATCAGTGTGTTTTGTACTGATATGTTATTTAGTGTGTGTTGTACCAAGGTGTTGTTTAATGTGTTTTGTACTGAGGTGTTGATCAGTGTGTTTTGTACTGATGTGTTATTTAGTGTGTGTTGTACCGAGGTGTTGTTTAATGTGTTTTGTACTGAGGTGTTGCTTAGTGTGTTTTGTACTGACCTGACATCATCCAGCAGACTACCCTCATTCACCAAGATGTTGTCCACCATCATTTCAAAGGTGTTGTCAGGATTTACAACTACAAATATCAAAATGCTCTCAAAACACATAGAAAATATATATACTTCATAAGCTTAATAAATCTAAACCTATTTTCAGTCTAGTCCAAATAATAGCTTCTGATTTAAAATGTAACTTCTAATTTTGTTATGTTTAACTGTCTTCATTAGAAATTCTTTTTTTCTGAACAAAACTATTTTTGAGCAAAATCATTCCAATACATTGTGTCACACCATTAATCAATTTAGAACAAATAATATGAAAAAGAATATCTCCCTGGGTATTTTCTCCAAAGCAGACAAGAAGGTAAATGACAAGACCATTACCCACCTAAAGTATACATGTGTGTCTTCTTGTCTGTGAAATGTTTATCAATGTTGGCAGTTGGCTTTTTGGCATGTTTCTCCTAAATAAAGGAAAACATAAAGGTTAAATTCCTTGTCTCCAAGTCAACTTGACTACATTTCTTGCCTCAAAATCTCCATGATTAAATTTTCATTATGAAAGATGAACATGAAAACAAATAATTATGATATTAAAGGCAACAATGCTGCATCATATAGATGTAAAAAATGCTTTTCCAACATTAAAAGATATCAGGGTTAGACATCAGTTCACCTACCTCAAACTCTCCAGTCACTAGGTTCTTGTGTCGGAAGATGAAGTGGAGCTGGGAGAAGAAACAAAATGCATTCAGTCCACAGTGATTTGGTAAGAATAGTTCATAGAATTTACAAACAACAATTTTGAACGCAGTAACTTTCTTGAACAATTTTTTTACATATCTTAATTCGCTCTAAACATGACTGTATTCCTACTTTTGCCCTGACTTTGCCGTCTAGGGAATTAGTCCTCTATGAGCTGTGTGTAAGTCTGAAAAAAACTAAAACCCTCGTACACATTAACTCATCCAGAAGCTTCCAGGGTGTAGACTGACTACCTTGACGATTTCCATATTTCATTAAGGACAATCAACAAGCAAATAATTAGTGAGAGGTAGGCAGAACTTGTTCTCAGTCATCATTGATCTTCAAACAACAGTGCAATGGAGAAAATATAAAGTCAGGTAGTGGCCCCAGGCCTAGGTCTGCATACATTACCAGTTCCTTCTTCCCTCCCTTTCAACATTATTTACATATTTATTGATGATGATTTGAAATACTCACTTTATGTTCCATGCCACACTTGTCTGGTCCAAACATAATAGTGTAGGGAGTCTTGTCCTGGAACATTTTCTGGAAAGCAAATCCAATAGATATAATCTAAATCACCCTTTCTGTTCAAATAAATATTGTCTACTAGTAATTAGTCCAGAGTTTTGTAGAACTAAAAAGCAAATGGTTCAAGACCCTCATTTTAATATCTTAAATCCTACATTACACTGCGTCGCCTTGAATGACTTAAACACACAGTACTTGGCTATTAAGAACTAAAAAAAACAATTAAATAAGAACTGAAAATAACAATTAACCCATCACACTTATAAAAAAAAGAACTTCTTCATTAATTGAACAATGCTTTAATTTTATGAAATATTCATAAAGTTTGAGAAAAAGTTGTTTTCTATATCCTAGCTTATAATTCCTGTCGATCTTAAAAACTTGTTACAATAAATCGGAGATATCACTTTTTCATACAAATGCTCCGTTAATATAAGAGTGCAGTGATGGCTTACCAGGTCCATTCTCTTGTTTTCTGAGAGAAGTTTGACGTAGGCCCCACCACAATCTATACCATTCTGGAATTTTACTTCATATCTACAGAGAAACAAACAAATTCTTTCATCAATATGAGGGAATAAAGAATTTCACAAAAATGGATGTGTCGCCTGTGCGAGCTTAGGTGAAATTGCAGTTGATTGTAATTAACGAATGAAATAAAATATTATTAAATAGCATCACAAAGCAAATATTTTGACCAGACATCAAGTAGTGTTTTATGCAATTTCATCCCCCATCCAATAAATCCTTCAAATGATTTCATCTGCAATCCATCAGCTAATCACATCAGTCTAATTATATATGCCTGATTTTGGTTTTGCATTTTAATTGAGCGATAGACTAATAAGTAAGGTAGAATGGCAGTTTTATCAAAATATTTTTATTTTTTCAAAAAATCAATTACCTACCAAAGACTCTTAGCTGCTAATTGATTAATTTCTGAGCTGATATTTTAATTATATGTAGAAAGTCTCAGTGTAACATAGAATTCAATCAATGACAAATACAATAGAAACTTACTGCACAATGAATGGTTTTCCTGAGAACACATATGTTTTTTCCAGTTTGGACGATATGGCATGATGCTTGGCCTTAGTCTGAAATTTAACAAAAAGAGAAATAAAGATTTTTGATTAAAGTTCGAGATAAAAAGCATCAAAACTGTATTTATACAAACTAAACACCTCTATCATCTCACACCCGAGACCTTCATAGAGTTTACAGATCTAATAGGCTTTATGTCATTATACTATACACCATGGATCTTCGTTGGAAGATTTTATGATACTCTATACATTGTATGCTACTTCACTTCACAAATTTTTGAAGAAGTCGGTTTTACATATTTGATCTGTGTGCCCTTGAAAAATAGGTCAAGCCAGAAACGTCCTGAAAAGTTGGGCCTACTTACTCAAGTTTATTTATCCGATTCTATTGTATAATATGACTTAAACTTGCAACTTTTCGTAATTATTAAATTGGCAATGGAATCAGGGATTATTCAACGAAATTTAGCAGTTTTATTGCTGCGAGCATATTTCAAAACATTTCCGAAAATCCTCGAAAAATTTACGAGAAATGTTCGCGACCAAGGACTGGCTTTTGATTGGGTATCGTGTACACCCCTTTCTTCACACTTCATTTTTCCGTAAAAAGTGTGCACTATAGGAAAATATTAACGCTAGTTGTTGGTCAGACATAAAATATCTAAATCAGTCAATAGCAATTTATAATACGACAGTTTACCCCTTCCGGAACCCCAAAGGTGCCCCAATTCATACAGTATACTCGGAACATCTTTGGGTTATATGTAATTCCTGTGGTAAAAATTTGGAACGCCTTTAAGTTTTATGCTATTCCTGTTTAAAAAGGAAATTGATATCTGAGTTATCCAAGAGCTTGTCATTAGCGCCTGGTATAGTCCGACAGAAGCAATACACTTAACAGCCCAAGACAACAGAGGTCAAAATCTGGGACTGAAACTGAAATTAATAGTCCCCGCTGGGGTTCCCCCAGGGGGTAAATAAAAACCCCAACATAAGTAGAATCCAACATCTAGGATATTTTACTTTGGTACTAAAATAAATTCAAGTTCTCATTTCATTTTCCAACCACTGCTTGTCTTAGCAAGACACCAAAAAAAACATATCCTTCGATGCAGGTTTCATCATACTTACTTTTAACAACAAAGCAAGATCGCCCTCCATTGCGTTATCTTTTGGCTCCTCTACACTCCATCTTCCTGTTTGAGCAAACAACAAATATAACTGAGATATACGTTACACACATGTACAATGAAAAGGCATCTTTATGGTAAAGCAACCTTGGGTTAAACAGTCTAGAATCTCCTCTGGGATAATGTTTTGTGTAATAATGCTGCTTCGCAGTACCCTAAATTAATGAAATACAGCCTGCATACTAGGGTTGACTATTGAGCAGAATTACAATTGTGATGGCATTGCTATAATTGAAAACTATAGCAATACTGTTACATTAACCTAACAAAGAACATAACTAAATAGCACCAACAAGAAGATGAAGAACGAGGTTGACCTATATAGGTCAATCGGTGTTCTATATAACACACACCTACTGGTGTAAGGTGAAATATAAACCTGGTATCTTCTGTGGAACAGTCGCATATGGTTGTTTGTAGTCCTTTTTTGATAATTTTTCTTTAGTTTATAATTAATATCACTTAAGTAACTATTGAAGGTATTGATAGGGTATCATACCACTGCCACATTCGTTAATAATTTAGTTTTCAACTCGACTTATTGCTATGGGAGCCACCACTATCACAGTAAGTTGACCTATCAACTTATCGTTACATCCTTACTACTAACCATCATATTTGGCAATGTTCTCATCGGTGTCATCCTTTTTGGCTTGTGATACAGTCCACCTGTAAAATGTGAAAAATGTTAAAGATTACAATTTCTCCTGTACATCACACAGTTGATAAAGTTACAATTGGGAATAAACTATCTAACAGATTAATTCCCATCGGTCTGGTATGTAACTTATATATATGGGTAATTCATCAGTCAACAGATTAGTGTAACAGATTCCACGGGAGTGGATTTGTCGCCTGCTCAGCGCTTTTAGTAAAAAAAGTGTTTTGGCTCAAGTTATCGCGTAAACAGACATGCCAAAACGCGGAAAGTTGAAACTCGTAATATATGTTGGACATAATTGCTTCTAGCATTACCGTACAAAATTTGAAAGGAATTGTCCGAGCTTTATTGGTATGCAATATGTGTACCAAGTTTCAGTTCAATCAACCCTAAGGGAACTGAAGTTATTGCACAGAAACCTTATTTCGGACGAGGCAACCGTTGACGCCGACAAAGCAATAACAATATATATGTCACCTCGCATTGCAGGCGACACAATAAAGAACATTATATAACACTTTGATTTCAATATTATGAACCAATTATATTGATTATCATGGAATTTGTTATCCATTATCAGAATCGGAAAAGCATACCAATAATTGTTTTATTATAATCTATCATCAACCCATCACCAGCATAATGATTTGATCCATCTCAAAGTTCAAGAGGAGAAGTTCTTTAAGCAATATGGATGAAGCAATCTTTTTTTGGGTAGGACCAAACAAGGACCCTTGATTTGTATAACTTTGAATCCCCTGCTTCTAGTCAAATTTGGTGAAATTCTGTTAAGAAATTATGAAAGAAAATGTTGACGAATGGGCTACATGGTACGGCATCATCTTTGCTTGGTCCTTCAATTTGGACCAGGTTAACTATATATAGAATCACAGCACCATCTGGTAATTACACATAATACTTCTCTTTTTTTTTTACTTCTATTTATTAAATATCAAGTTTGTTTAATTATTATCTGGTTGCAACTTTAACCAAATATGAATACTGAAAAACATTTCTTCACTTCACATTTATACATAAAAAGGTATTTGTATTGTGTTGTTTTGTTGGTTTAGCTCTGTAAACACATACCTGGTTTTTAAGTCATCTTTGCTGTTGAATGGTTCTGCTAGGTATACATTTCCTTCCAGTGTAGGTGGTTTATACGGGATCTGTTATGAAGGTTAACTCAAAATCAGTAATGTATACACAAATTATACATATACAATACATTACCAACACTTTTAGGACATTTAATACAACATGTGTACCTAACAATGTATATGTACGTATACCTATCTGTATAAAACAGATGAGGGATGCATTGGTACATGTACCAGCATAACACATCACATAATAGGGGTCATTTGTGCTATCAGCTGATCCTAAACATATTTGTCCATTAATATGTTTTTAGTGTGGTACAATTGTAAAGAAAAAATTGAAGTGACCTAGAGGAGAACTAAGAACTTGTCTACAGCAAGTAAATTGCATGTATTCAGAGAATATAAAGCTCCCTAGACAAGTCTAAAGTTGATTAAAGGTAACTTTGTATACAAGCATGAGCTCACATTAAATATGTCTGTATACATAGGATTCATGAACCTGAAGAGACTTATTTACTTAATGAGTGAAAACACATGTGGAAAAGTGAAGTTTCGTTTTAAAGAATTTTATTAATTAAAGTCATACTCCGCAATTTCATTATATAACTATAATTCCATTTGCTCTGCATTGCCACTATATAACCTTACCAAACAAAATAGAAAGATATCAGATCATAATTCTCACACAATTCCCATCGATGTAGTGATATGAAGAACATGTTCCTGATGTTGTGACTATATGACGTCATTCTGACCGGCGTCACAATATTAAGTGTATTATTGACGTCACAAAAGAAATGTCATCTGCCAGAAAATAACACATCAACGCAAATAAATTTTCATTCCATAAACACAGTAACTCCTGGATTCTTCACATACGCAACATTTTCCGGCTGCACTTCTATTTCCAATCGCTAAATTCACCTTTCGTCTCCAGGCCAAATCACCACATCAATAACAATACGCATTCCTCACGGTAACCCATCCGTGCTACCAGATTAAAAAACCCAATTTATCAATGTAACTCGCAACAATCTATGTAGTTTTGTTGTATAAAAGGTGAATAGCAACACGGTGGAATATACTGATTAAGTGATCTAAAAAAATCAAATTGATATTTTGTGTTTATTTCCACAAACTATTTTTTTTACCCGGGAACGGTCCTGTGTACTCGTGAATCAAAGTCACAAGAGCAGGTCCCATTGACAGACAGTGCAAAATTTGACTTTGAAATGCGATAACAGGTTGGAAATCTAAGAAAAACTTAAATTAAAAACGGAAATATAAGTATTAAACGGCCTTTTTGGAAAGTTATTGCTGCCCCAATTGCATGATTGTGACTAAATTTGGGATCTTATCTTTTCTCTTCTTTCTAAACAACTTTCTTCTTCTAATGCACATCTCCCTTGACAATGCCTCATTTTTGGCCTTTAGTTGAGCGTTTACCCCTGTGAGAAAGGCTTTGGGTTCTGACCCCTGGCCGAGACATACCAGAGTCTGTAAAAATGGTAGTTTCTACTCCTGCTAAACGCTCAGCAATTTAGGAGTGGGACGACAGGTTCTCCCGTTGTCAGTATAATGTGACCGGGTGGAGTGTCCTGCTGGTCGTCATCAGTTTCGCGCTATCACAAGAAGACGAACATACTGCAGCCTCCCAACACACACACGCATACACTAAACACATGCATCTTGCACATAGGAGAGGCCGTCCTTAAATGACCTTAGCTGTTGATAGGACGTTATCAATTCTAAACCAAACCAAACGAGAAAGAGCCATATATGCATCTATTTTATCAAAAACATATACTTTTGGGTTTCGTATCAAAAGCAATGACAGTCATTCTGATTGCTGTGTTCTTTTAAAAAATACTGTTTCTTCTGATAATTGTGGTTATGTATGTGTTTCCAGAAATTTTGTTTGTTTTCGTTTTGTATTCTTGTGTGTATGTTTTTTTTTTTAAAATTTCCAATACAGAAATATGCATGGTATGCATTTGAAGACGGAATAGCAAATTTTACTCACTCTGTCAAAATATTACTCTTGCATACAAGTAAAATTTAGAATCAAGAGAAAAAATATTTCGAAAGCATGCATGCATTGCCCAAAGTCAAAATATGCACTTGCAATTGCTGCACAAGAAGATAAAGTTGCCCTGTGTGTTGTTGGGCAAGTAGATTTTAACATTCTAATCTTCTGTTTAATTACCAAAGCATTATATACTTATCTGTATGTTTATTGGCACAAAAAAAAGTAAAAAAAGAATATTATTACATTTTTTTGGTTTTATATCAGGGAAAACATCATTTTCCATTGGGAATAGGGTCAAAATATATTGGTGACATACCATGGTGTCACTATGCTTCTATATACAGTATAACATTTATGTTTCATATATCAATGTCCATTGTAATTTTTATTTGTCTAAAATACACATACTTTTTCAACATTATCCTCCTCCTCTTCTTCCTCTATAGAGACATCATTGTTATCATCATCTCCTTCATCCAAACTCTCACAATGATATCTTGGAATAGATACCAAGGCAAGTAGTCCAATCAGGAGAAAAACACTCTTCATTGTAATGTCAAATTTAGTCTAGGCAATCCTGAAATTAAAACTTTGTTCAGTAGGAAAGTATAACAGACATATAGCAGAGTTCTCACATTGATCTTAGCCTCACCAAAGAAAGATCTTCAACATAATCAGTTCAATCAAAATTTGATAATTATTTGTCTATATTTTCCCCTATATTAGTATAATTATATCTGCTGGATTGTGAATCGTGTAAAATTTCAAGTTTCAGTATTCATGCAGATATGCACAAAAGATTAAATCACCCAAACTGGACTTCTAACAATACTTTTTTTGGTGTAACATTATTTTAATTGTGATTTAGGATGTACATTACTTGTCTTCTATAAACATAAGAGGACACTTGTCAGCGATTTTCATAGAATGTGATTATTCCAAAGTTACAAATAAGAAGCCTCGGGTTGGCTATTTTTTTTATGGGATCATGGATTTGATTGCATTATGCGGCGCCTGTCAGATGTATCTCATTGTTAATCTCTAACATTGTTTGATTATGATGTACGATACATACTATACCCATGTAAAAGTTACCTGTAATGGTCATTCTTGAACAATGAAAACACAATCCTTGTTTTTGTGAAGTTTAAATAGAAACATTTCTAGTTTACATTTACATATGCATACATGCATGGCTCATATTAATGAATAAACATTGACATTGGACGTTGCTTATATTAACGCACAGTCATGTGCATGCATGAATAATGACGACGAGAAAGGGGTGGGGGTTTTCGTCGAGATTCCGAGAGAATCTATCCTGAACATTAAATTGTTTCAATTTGCATATATATAAAACATTGTAAACACGAAAAGTCCCCTTTTTATAATAAAAAATACAATGGTTTCTTTACCAATAATCAAAGGCCTGTGATACGTTACTTTCAGCAGGGACAGTATATAGTTTTACGTCCCTGCTTTCAGCAAGCTACTTGTGCATGCATTTTTCGCGATGACCAAAATACAGCGCGTTCATAAACGTTCACCAATCAATACTTCACAAGACCGTTACCATACAGCAACAACCATAAAGAATTCCATCTCACATACTTTTTCGTTTTGACAATTTAAGACTTACAACAACTGTAAATAAAATTCCCAAGTGTACAGACGCCGGCGTGTTTCACATGTCGTCTTGATCACTGCCGTACCGTTAAACGTGGAGACATTTGATTGGTATTTTGAAACGGATATCTTGATTGGCCTATTATTTATCACGTGATATAGAACAAACAAAAACCTGACAGGACGCAATCTTTAGGTTATTCAAGCAGCAGATTCCGTACTGAAAGCACAACATACACCATACGAGAACAAAGATATAGATATCAAGGTATTTATGAGATGAATTTCGCTTTGATCCTTGTACCTCGAATTTCCATACAATAACGATGACCAGTGACTTGCCGTGGCAAATTTTGTTCCATTAGATTGTTATTTTTGAGAATAACTTTCAGCAGTCGATAGGCATTTTGAATATAAGTGAATAGTCTGTATTTGTATGATTCGTTTAGGTTGATCATTAGAAATTGAACAAAGATGTAGTTCTTTTTAATTCCTTTTCATTAATTCGTAACTATATTTAATAACTTCCTGCTTGCAATGCTGTTGTAGCGTAGCCTAAGCAAAATTAAAGCGAAAACAAACTAATCCAAAATGGCTGCCAACAATAGAACGTAAGGCAACCAAAGTCTACGTAATAGTCTATTTATAGCATAATTTATACAACCATCTAGAACATTCTAGATAGTTTGACATCCTACTTTAAGCAAAAATCTTTTACGTTAAAAGCATAATTATACCATATACGATATGAAAAGATTATTTAAAACTAATAATTGATAAACGTTAAAAAAGTCACGGCAAAATAAAAAGTGTTTGTTATATTGATTTATATAAAATTATTTCTAACCAGCATATCATTCAGTACACAAGATAACAAAGAAAAATGGTGATCAGTTCTAACCAGCAAATTAAGTTCACATTAAACATGGGGAAAATATAATATGCTGTAACAGGAAAGAGAATAGTGTGCTTCCACCGGGGATCGAACCCTCGATCTCCAGGTTCCTAGTCGGACGCTCTACCACTGAGCTAAAGGGAAATTCCCCCTAGCTCGAAGCTAGAAGGCGACCTTAATCCTATGTACAATTGAACCCTGCCACAATGCAAATTGTACACTACATCTAATTATTCACTGTTAATAAAAGCTAAGTATTTGATAGGCAGATATTTAAGTATTCAACTATTTGTAATAAAGTAAAGATGTCAATTTCAAACATTAAAAAACATTCTAAACCTAATGATCGAGTGGTAACTAATAAGAAAGTGATAAATAATGCTGGTTCTTCTGTTGTATTTTCAGATGCAAATCTTTGTCAAGACTTTGACTGGTAAAACCATCACATTGGAGGTGGAGCCATCGGACAGCATTGAGAATGTCAAAGCCAAGATCCAGGACAAGGAAGGGATTCCCCCAGACCAGCAGCGTCTCATCTTTGCCGGTAAACAGCTGGAAGATGGACGTACATTGTCCGACTACAACATCCAGAAGGAGTCCACACTCCATTTGGTGTTGCGTCTCCGAGGAGGTATGCAGATCTTTGTGAAGACTTTGACCGGTAAGACCATCACACTGGAGGTTGAGCCATCAGACAGCATTGAGAATGTCAAAGCCAAGATCCAGGACAAGGAAGGGATTCCCCCAGACCAGCAGCGTCTCATCTTTGCCGGTAAACAGCTGGAAGATGGACGTACATTGTCCGACTACAACATCCAGAAGGAGTCCACACTCCATTTGGTGTTGCGTCTCCGAGGAGGTATGCAGATCTTTGTGAAGACTTTGACCGGTAAGACCATCACACTGGAGGTTGAGCCATCAGACAGCATTGAGAATGTCAAAGCCAAGATCCAGGACAAGGAAGGGATTCCCCCAGACCAGCAGCGTCTCATCTTTGCCGGTAAACAGCTGGAAGATGGACGTACATTGTCCGACTACAACATCCAGAAGGAGTCCACACTCCATTTGGTGTTGCGTCTCCGAGGAGGTATGCAGATCTTTGTGAAGACTTTGACCGGTAAGACCATCACACTGGAGGTTGAGCCATCAGACAGCATTGAGAATGTCAAAGCCAAGATCCAGGACAAGGAAGGGATTCCCCCAGACCAGCAGCGTCTCATCTTTGCCGGTAAACAGCTGGAAGATGGACGTACATTGTCCGACTACAACATCCAGAAGGAGTCCACACTCCATTTGGTGTTGCGTCTCCGAGGAGGTATGCAGATCTTTGTGAAGACTTTGACCGGTAAGACCATCACACTGGAGGTTGAGCCATCAGACAGCATTGAGAATGTCAAAGCCAAGATCCAGGACAAGGAAGGGATTCCCCCAGACCAGCAGCGTCTCATCTTTGCCGGTAAACAGCTGGAAGATGGACGTACATTGTCCGACTACAACATCCAGAAGGAGTCCACACTCCATTTGGTGTTGCGTCTCCGAGGAGGTATGCAGATCTTTGTGAAGACTTTGACCGGTAAGACCATCACACTGGAGGTTGAGCCATCAGACAGCATTGAGAATGTCAAAGCCAAGATCCAGGACAAGGAAGGGATTCCCCCAGACCAGCAGCGTCTCATCTTTGCCGGTAAACAGCTGGAAGATGGACGTACATTGTCCGACTACAACATCCAGAAGGAGTCCACACTCCATTTGGTGTTGCGTCTCCGAGGAGGTATGCAGATCTTTGTGAAGACTTTGACCGGTAAGACCATCACACTGGAGGTTGAGCCATCAGACAGCATTGAGAATGTCAAAGCCAAGATCCAGGACAAGGAAGGGATTCCCCCAGACCAGCAGCGTCTCATCTTTGCCGGTAAACAGCTGGAAGATGGACGTACATTGTCCGACTACAACATCCAGAAGGAGTCCACACTCCATTTGGTGTTGCGTCTCCGAGGAGGTATGCAGATCTTTGTGAAGACTTTGACCGGTAAGACCATCACACTGGAGGTTGAGCCATCAGACAGCATTGAGAATGTCAAAGCCAAGATCCAGGACAAGGAAGGGATTCCCCCAGACCAGCAGCGTCTCATCTTTGCCGGTAAACAGCTGGAAGATGGACGTACATTGTCCGACTACAACATCCAGAAGGAGTCCACACTCCATTTGGTGTTGCGTCTCCGAGGAGGTATGCAGATCTTTGTGAAGACTTTGACCGGTAAGACCATCACACTGGAGGTTGAGCCATCAGACAGCATTGAGAATGTCAAAGCCAAGATCCAGGACAAGGAAGGGATTCCCCCAGACCAGCAGCGTCTCATCTTTGCCGGTAAACAGCTGGAAGATGGACGTACATTGTCCGACTACAACATCCAGAAGGAGTCCACACTCCATTTGGTGTTGCGTCTCCGAGGAGGTATGCAGATCTTTGTGAAGACTTTGACCGGTAAGACCATCACACTGGAGGTTGAGCCATCAGACAGCATTGAGAATGTCAAAGCCAAGATCCAGGACAAGGAAGGGATTCCCCCAGACCAGCAGCGTCTCATCTTTGCCGGTAAACAGCTGGAAGATGGACGTACATTGTCCGACTACAACATCCAGAAGGAGTCCACACTCCATTTGGTGTTGCGTCTCCGAGGAGGTATGCAGATCTTTGTGAAGACTTTGACCGGTAAGACCATCACACTGGAGGTTGAGCCATCAGACAGCATTGAGAATGTCAAAGCCAAGATCCAGGACAAGGAAGGGATTCCCCCAGACCAGCAGCGTCTCATCTTTGCCGGTAAACAGCTGGAAGATGGACGTACATTGTCCGACTACAACATCCAGAAGGAGTCCACACTCCATTTGGTGTTGCGTCTCCGAGGAGGTATGCAGATCTTTGTGAAGACTTTGACCGGTAAGACCATCACACTGGAGGTTGAGCCATCAGACAGCATTGAGAATGTCAAAGCCAAGATCCAGGACAAGGAAGGGATTCCCCCAGACCAGCAGCGTCTCATCTTTGCCGGTAAACAGCTGGAAGATGGACGTACATTGTCCGACTACAACATCCAGAAGGAGTCCACACTCCATTTGGTGTTGCGTCTCCGAGGAGGTATGCAGATCTTTGTGAAGACTTTGACCGGTAAGACCATCACACTGGAGGTTGAGCCATCAGACAGCATTGAGAATGTCAAAGCCAAGATCCAGGACAAGGAAGGGATTCCCCCAGACCAGCAGCGTCTCATCTTTGCCGGTAAACAGCTGGAAGATGGACGTACATTGTCCGACTACAACATCCAGAAGGAGTCCACACTCCATTTGGTGTTGCGTCTCCGAGGAGGTATGCAGATCTTTGTGAAGACTTTGACCGGTAAGACCATCACACTGGAGGTTGAGCCATCAGACAGCATTGAGAATGTCAAAGCCAAGATCCAGGACAAGGAAGGGATTCCCCCAGACCAGCAGCGTCTCATCTTTGCCGGTAAACAGCTGGAAGATGGACGTACATTGTCCGACTACAACATCCAGAAGGAGTCCACACTCCATTTGGTGTTGCGTCTCCGAGGAGGTATGCAGATCTTTGTGAAGACTTTGACCGGTAAGACCATCACACTGGAGGTTGAGCCATCAGACAGCATTGAGAATGTCAAAGCCAAGATCCAGGACAAGGAAGGGATTCCCCCAGACCAGCAGCGTCTCATCTTTGCCGGTAAACAGCTGGAAGATGGACGTACATTGTCCGACTACAACATCCAGAAGGAGTCCACACTCCATTTGGTGTTGCGTCTCCGAGGAGGTATGCAGATCTTTGTGAAGACTTTGACCGGTAAGACCATCACACTGGAGGTTGAGCCATCAGACAGCATTGAGAATGTCAAAGCCAAGATCCAGGACAAGGAAGGGATTCCCCCAGACCAGCAGCGTCTCATCTTTGCCGGTAAACAGCTGGAAGATGGACGTACATTGTCCGACTACAACATCCAGAAGGAGTCCACACTCCATTTGGTGTTGCGTCTCCGAGGAGGTATGCAGATCTTTGTGAAGACTTTGACCGGTAAGACCATCACACTGGAGGTTGAGCCATCAGACAGCATTGAGAATGTCAAAGCCAAGATCCAGGACAAGGAAGGGATTCCCCCAGACCAGCAGCGTCTCATCTTTGCTGGTAAACAGCTGGAAGATGGACGTACATTGTCCGACTACAACATCCAGAAGGAGTCCACACTCCATTTGGTGTTGCGTCTCCGAGGAGGAAACTAAATGAACACTGCTTGTTTCAGTTTTAATAATCATGATAACTTTATTTATATGAAAAGGTTTACACCTTTGACATTCAAATCCTTTTAATTGTTGGAACTTTCATAATTTGAGAAAATGAAAACAACCATTTTCTACAAACTTCATAACATAAAGAACATCAAGGTTATCTCCCTTTTGTCTGAAGAGAATCGATAGATCAGATGTCAAAGAGTGATTTTAATTTAATATACTTCGAGGCCTGGGCAACACCCTTTGTGTAAGCAAGTAATAAAAGATTTTATTGTTGAAATAATTAATATTTTGATGCTTTGTAATTTGGAAACAACTATCATTCAGGTCATTACAGAATACTAATGACATTCATATATAGCTCGCTTAAAATTACAGTTTTTTTAGCTGACTCTGGTTGATAGAGGCAAAGATATCTGAAAATACTTGTTTACTTCTTGCCTGATCATATTCGATGGTCTGGTCTACTTGACTGATGTGTTGACACTGAAGATGTCACGTGGTGGCATAAAGTCTATTAGTGTAAGAAATATGAAACAAGTGCACGGTGATATGATTTCCACAAACTATACCGCTATTATTAATTTCCTGGTGAAAATAATGGTGCATAAAATCTAAGTGATATTCGAGTGCATTGTCAGATTTGACAAGTTACTGGATGACATATTTTTAGCTCACTTAGCCTAGGGGGTGGTGTGATGTCATTGTCGGTGTAATTTTTTTTTACTTATAACCACTTCTTTATAACTTGGAGGCCAACAGCGATACTTCGTCGTTAGCATGCTGGAATAAAAGTCAATTAAGACATTCAAGTTCATGGGAATCAAATTTTATAATATGCCTTTAAATAACTATCGAATAGCACAAAGAATTAGTGTGAATCTAGTCGGCCAGTTGTATGCTTGGAAAAAGGGCTATATAAATTGTCCAAATAAAATGCCTTCACCCATTTTTGAAGTCGCATGTCTAAGGTTAAAACCGTTGTAACCAAAAAGGCATAGGGAGATATCTTGCCAGTAGCAGGCTGGGGTGAAGATCTTTCTCAAGTTTGTTCTTCCCCATTTTCAAGGTATATATATTTGAATGTGCATAGCCAAAAGTCCCAATATGTGGATATCTGGCCAGTAGCATGCTGGGATGAAGGGCTGTCTAGTTTGGTTAAATGAATGATAGTTACCATACCCAGGTAAGGTGAAATTTAAAGATGAAGTAAGACACACTGGTCATTGCATCTATACAAATTTAACATGGTATACTAAAAATGAATTGCACAGCACCATACAGTATTTTGTCTGATGCGGGTCTCATTGGTGATATTAGGGGACAAAATGTTGGAAATCTGGTGTTGAAACAGAAGGGAAGTTCCGAGAACCCCTTGGATGCATGAATTTAAAAACAATTTTGAGTACCGATTAATTTCAAATGAATAGTCCGTGATATATATATATATAGAAAAGTAACTATGCCACAACAGAGTCGATTGTGGTACACGAGGGTTATAGACAAACCTGTAACAAACATGTTATGTATAGAGTAATACTATTTAGCTTATTTAGATAAGTTGATCTGTCATCTCTTTAAGATAATAGATGTGAGGTGAATTGGAGAAATAAAGGTAAAAATTCAACATCCTACTTCTGGAATATCCTTAAAGGGATTCAAATTTGTCCAGAATATCCCAGGGTCAAGCAGACTTAAATTGTGTAAATGAAGGGTATGCCTCCACCAATGAGGATTACTAATTGAAATTTTAGAAATATATGCAGAATGGCATGGTATTGGGTGATGTACCAATCCTTGATCTGTATGCCATGGGCTAAATTTTCCGAAGCCAAAGGTCTTGTTCATTACTTTTGGTTAGCTGAAGATAACTGAATGAAATTTAACGGATGAGTGCAGGGTGGCTTGTTGGTACATGGTGCAAGTGCAAATCGGTGCAATAGTGATGGAAAATGGTAATTTGGCAGGGTGATTGGGCACGTTTATTCTTTGGTCTGTATTTACAAAGTTGAGGGCGCATTGAGTTCAAAGGTCAAATACGTTCTCAAGGTGATGTCATATTTCGCTGATCTAGATAGATTCATGAAATTACAGGGATATATGAAGAATGTCGAGATGCTGTGTTGTTGAATGCCCAAGGTCATGGTAAAACTGAGATCAATGGTCAAATTCATCATCCAGGCACTAAGTTACAACATATTGAAGATGGCTCGATTTTTAGGTCACCTGAGACAAAGTCTCAAGTGACCTATTGCGATCGCCTTTTGGTCGGCGGCGTCCGTCTTGCGTCCGTAAACAATTAACATTTTCGACTTTTTCCAAAACCCCTGAACCAATTTCAATGAAATTTTGCAGGAACTTTCCATGAACAAAGGTCAACAAAAATAGTGGCTGGTTTAGTCCCAAGCCCCCAGGGACCTGAGGGGCGGGGTCAAAAAGGGTCAAATTGACTAAAATTTCAAAAATCTTCTTCTCAAGACCCAGATATGGTAGAATCAAATACTCTTCATAGATGGAAGGGTCTTAAGGTGCTTTACCAAGACTGTGAATTTCTTGACCCTGGGGTTTCACGTTTCCCCCTGGGGAGGGGGTAAACTTTACTATAGTTTATATAGGGAAATCACATTTTGGACCAACATTTGTTTCATTTCAATTGGAAGTAATTCAATTTAGGTTAGCATTATCAGTATTAGGTAGCAGTTTGATAGTATGCACATATGAGCCCTGACTGACCCCCCGGGGCTTATGGGTGGGGCATAAAAGGGTTGAATTGACTGAAATTTCGAAAATCTTCTTCTCAAGACCCAGATATGGTAGAAACAAATACTCTTCATAGATGGACGGGTCTTAAGGTGCTTTACCAAAATTGTGAATTTCATGACCCTGGGGTATCACGTTTACCCCTGGGGATGGGGTAAACTTTACTATAGTTTATATAGGGAAATCACATTTTGGACCAACATTTGTTTAACTTCAATTGGAAGTAATTCAATTTAGGTTAGCATTATCAGCATTAGGTAGCAGTTTGATAGGATGCACATATGAGCCCTGACTGACCTCCCGGGGCTTATGGGTGGGGCATAAAAGGGTTGAATTGACTGAAATTTCGAAAATCTTCTTCTCAAGACCCAGATATGGTAGAAACAAATACTCTTCATAGATGGACGGGTCTTAAGTGCTTTACCAAAATTTTGAATTTCATGACCCTGGGGTATCACGTTTACCCCTGGGGAGGGGGTAAACTTTACTATAGTTTATATAGGGAAATCACATTTTGGACCAACATTTGTTTAATTTCAATTGGAAGTAATTCAATTTAGGTTAGCATCATCAGTTTTAGGTAGCAGTTTGATAGTATGCACATATGAGCCCTGACTGACCCCCCGGGGCTTATGGGTTGGGCAAAAAAGGGTCGAATTGAATTTACCCCTGGGGAGGGGGTAAACTTTCCTATAGTTTATATAGGGATATCACATTTTGGACCAACATTTGTTTAATTTCCATTGGAAGTTATTCAATTTGGGTTAGCATTATCAGTATTGGATATCAGTTTGATCGTATGCACATATCAGCCCTGACTGACCCCGCGGGGCTGATGGGTGGGGCAAAAAGGGTTGAATTGACTGAAATTTCAAAAATCTTCTTATCAAAGACCCAGGGTAGGGTGGGGCCCAAAGGAATCAGTCTGCTAAAATTTCTTCATTTTCGTTGTTTTTAATCAGAGGTGCTAGTTTCAAATATGCTATATGCTAGATATTGAATAAGGTGGTTTTATTGTTTTTTGTCACTTTGAATAATATTTCTGTACATGTTAAAAAAACAAATTCAACTCTCTGTATAAATATATCAGGTGACCGTAAAGGCCCATGGGCCTCTTGTTTAGGGATACATGCAGAGTTGAAAGGTTGCATGTCCGTTTGCCTATGGCAAAGGTAATATCGAGGTCAAATACATGAAATTTTATGGGTATACGCAGAATTGCAACCCTGTGTGGTGTGTAAAACTTGGGTCTGAATATCTAAGGACAAGGTCAAACTTTAGGTCAAGGATAAAATTTGTTGCTATAGTTTATGACTCGATGAAGATGGATCAAAGCAATTTTAGGGATACATGCAGAATGGTAAAACAATGCATTATTTACCATTATTGGGTCTGAATGACAAAAGTAAAACTGCAGTAACTGGTCAAATTCGTTGTCAGGACTTGAAGTAATAACTCTTTAAAGTTGGCTCAATGAAATATTTGGGATACATGCAGAAAGGCAAGGCAATGTGTCATGCACACCTATTGGGTTGGTGCACCTTATTCAGAGGTCAAATTTGTTACCAAGGCCATACCATTTGACTCTTTTAAAATATATATGTAAGCTCACCTGGAGCTGGTCAGTCGTCTTTCTCTAGTCAATTTTTAGCTCACCTTGTCCGAAGCTCCTAGTGATCTTATGCCGTGGAGCGTCGTCCGTCATCAGTCTGGCATCAACTTTTTACTTTAAACAACCTCTTCTGAATAATCAATAGGCCCAGGCTAATGATATTTTGCCTGTAGCATGCTGGGATGAAGGACTACCAAGTTTGTTCAAATGAATGACCTTTTCCCATTTTCAAGGTCACAGTGGTCAAATATGTTAAAATCTTTAAAAAGGTTCTTCTGAATAACCAGAAGGCTGAGGAATATGATATTTGTCCAATAACATGCTGGGATGAAGCACTACCAAGTTTGTTCAAATAAATGACCTTTGCACATATTCAAGGTCACATAGGGTCAAATTTGTTTAAACTTTTCAACAACTTTAAAATAACCAAGAGGCCTAGGGTGTTGATATTAAGCCAATAGCATACTTGGATAAAGTGCTACCAAATTTGTTCAAATGAATAACCTTCGCCCATATTTAAGGTCAAAGCCAAAGGGGTCAATTGTCTTTAAAATCTTTAATCAATTTTCCTGTATAACTAATAGGTCCAGGGTGATGATATTTGGTCAGAAGGATGTTGGGATGAAGCACTACCAAGTTTGTTCAAATGAATGACCTTGGCCCATATTCAAGGCCATAGGGATCAATTGTCTTAAAAACATTTAAACGACTTCTTTTGTATAACCAAAAGGAACAGAATTATGCTATTTGGCCAGTATCATGCGGGGATGAAAGGCTACCAAGTTTGTTTGACCTTTGCCCATATTCAAAGTCACGGGGGTCAAATATGTTGAAATCTTAAAACGACTTCTTCTGAATGTTCATGTGAATGACCTTGACACACTTTCTTAGTTGTATCTGTTCCATAGT